TCCCAGAGTCTTGCTATCAACCTTGTTGAGTTTTCCCCAAGCTCTGATGAATCTTTGGCGCAGTCCTTGCGCATCGTTGTCGAAGTCAAAAACTAGGCTAGGAATCAACATATCATGAGGGCCATCCCTCCGTGCATATCCAAATTGCCTCAAAGCTAGGCAAGGGTTGTAGGTGATACCCCCTCTAATTCCAAGTAAAGGAACATTAGGAAATTCTCCGCAACGATCGACGATGATGACATTTTCTCTGGACCGAGAACACCAATGCACATCAGAATGAGTAAGAGTCATCAATCGTTGGGACCACCTTGTACCTTGGTCATTCTTCAAGACAGATTGTGGAAGGTGCGAAATAAACCACCTTACGAGGATAGGAGTACAGCACATGAGAACACCCCTCTTTCTCATTGTTCGTGTGTAAAATGAGTGAAGGATGTCCCCAAGCAATGTTGGTATCGGATTTCTGGACAAGAAGATTTTGACGGCGTTGACATCTACCAATTGGTCAGGATTTGGGAACAAGACCAACCCGTAGATAAGGAGTGCCACAATCTCTTCAAAGGCTTGTAGGTCCAATGAATTCCAACATTCTTGTGCCTTCTCGAACAAGAATTTTGCTAAGAATCCTTTGACACCGCTTCTGGTTTCCCAATGCCTCTTGATTTCAGATGGTTGTAGATGTAGTGCTCGAGCAACATCTTCAGGCTTTGGTTCCTTTTCCATACCGTTGAAGGGTAGTTGATTAAGGATAGGGATTCTTAGGAGTTGAGAAAACTCCTCCAAAGTGGGGACCAACTGATAATCAGGGAAAGTGAAGCAGTGGTGAAGAGGGTCAAAGAACTGGAATAGCACTTTCATCATGTCTTCTTCAATGTTGGTGTTGACTAGGCTGAGCAATCTACCATGTCTTTCACTGAAGGATGAAATTTCCGGAATTCTTGAGGTGATCTCCTTGAGTTGAGGAGAGATTCTCACAAGCTTGACTTGAATGGTATTTCTGCAAGGAATTTCCATGTCCTACAAAACAAGAACAAAGATGAAGATCCAAAACCCTTGAAATGGTTAGTGAATGCATATGATGTTTTATGATGTTTATGATGTATGCACAAAACATATGTACAAGAAAATCACACCAAACCCTAATTTCAGGCTTGCATGGGGTTTCATAGGTAAGTACCCTCTTGAGTGTAGTTGGCTTAAAAACCTGTCCTATAAATAGTAACCGGGTTCTAAGGAGCTCAATATCACTGGATTGTTTTCATTGTTCATTGTTTTGGTTTAGCCACTTAAACTAGCGACCAAAATATTCCAAGAAAACAACCCTCAATGAGTGTAGTATCAGAGTATCTACCAACTTCGGACTGCACCAAAGCCGGTCATCTCACTACCCCTAATAAAAGGCCAAGATGGTCAAGTAAGGTTCTAGGTCATTAGTGCTTAGTGACATCACTCAGCGGCCCCGTACTCTCCTTGATTGAACTCAAGGGGTTACCGGTACTCACAAATATGTCGTACTAATATAGCTATTGCTTAGACCGTGTCGGTATACCCCGTACAGTTTCCACAATGTATTGCTATCTATGAATGTTTCCCAAAATCCGGGTGGAGGATTGTAAACCCAAACAATAGAGCCAAAGTATAAAGCAAGCCAAATCAAACAATTAGTCATGCAAGAGGGTGATCTAAGCCCTAAGGTTACTCCACTTTAAAAGTTCGGTTCCCCAGCAGAGTCGCCAGTTCTGTGATACGGTGGGAGAACTGACTAGTGTTTTGCGTTTGTTTTCGCAAATGTTTCGGTTGAGCAAGAGTCGCCACCCGACTTTTATTTTATCCTAAGGAAAGGTTTAAAAAGCACAGCAAAAACCTTTGAGATTTTTCTTGGGTTCGGGGAGTAGATTATAGAAGGGGAAGGTATTAGCACCCCTTCTATCCGATGGTTATCCATGGGCTCTTAGGTACTTGCTTAGATCAACTTGCCTTGGTTTTCAATTGTTTGAAATGGTGCTTTGTGTGTGTGGCTT